ATTTTTAAGTGGTTGATTACCCCTCAATGCATCAGCATGATAGTGCTATCATCGGGGCAATCCAGATACTATCCATCTGGTTGGCCTACCTACACAAGGTCGTTGTTTTTTTTTGTTATTATTACCCTTGTAGAGTCACGTAGATGTGGCCCTACAAAATAACCACTTACCACTGCACCTGACTCGAGAGGGTGCGCTCAGCCAGGATAAACYTGTCGGCCCTCACGGGCCTCTATTTCTATCCGATCGAGCCGCGTAAGCTCCTCGTCGTTAAAAGTCAAGGTGGAGACACGTCCGCCTCGCATAACTCGGACCTTCCGCGTATCGTAGAGAGAAACCACCCGTGAGGCGAGCCTCCAAAATATGGCACGGAACGGTTGGCGCATCCGAAACAGGTGCGTGGTAGTGGTTTCTTTAATCCGGATGATGCCGTAGCGCTCCCCGGATAGGGTAATTTTGATGCTCACAATGACCCGAGAGAGGCATTGTAGGTTGCTCGCGCGATGGAAGTACAAGGTATATCCATGAATTTCGTCCGGAAATCGGGCCACCTTGGCACAAACATCTGCGCGCGAGTTAGGGAAAAATCCCTGCCCATCACTGAGCAGGCCAATGAAACCAACCCAACGTGTGGGCACTCCATCTCGAGCCARTAATAGTCGCYCCGCTCGCCGGATCAACTCCTCGTCTGTWGTGTCGCGAATYAGTAGATATCTGGCCTGAGTGAAGCCCYGCCGTCCGCTAGGCATCTGMATACCGAAGAAGCCACCTGTTARAARAGRCACTCGTAAATTTCACAAGCCTCGTCATAAAACGCGGTGACGTCGAAAYRTTWYGAGCGAATGATATTAAATCTATTCGCYCGGATTCGTCTCACATGATGAAGGGAGCCGAACGGACCTTGCAAATCWTTCAAATGGAGTACAATATAGAGGAACATCCCTYTAACCTCAAGAATGTTCTTTACTTCTGGACAGTCCTCGTGAACCACAACTAAGTTCATGTCTCCGTAATCTCGTGATGGATTAGGAGGCGCAAAGTCATATCGCACCATACACTGGTCTGGTTCGATCAAGAAAATATAACTCCGCGGTGGTTTCCTCACGCTCCCGTCCCAGAATCGTGGCACATCCCGTTGCGAGTAARCCTCAAGTGGGTTGTATACCAGCCTTCCTTTCCGTATCATGCCGGCGMGGGATCGTATCGGCACCGCTAACCAATTAGCCGCCGCCTCGCGTGTGCTAAACAATCGGAGAATCACTGTCTCCGYAAGCATCTGAACGACGAAGCGATAACTCTGTCAAAATAATTTCAGATATACCCGTTTCCATGTTCAATCTTCACTCCCCTTTTCGGGCCGTGATTCTTGTGTCACGGTYCGATCGCGAGAGTAGTGCCTATTTGCACTTCCATTAACACTAGTTGAATCATTGGTTGGGCTTCTTATGGCGCCAGCCCTCCCACACGTTGGTGGCTCCTAAAATGGCCACCCAACAGGATGCTAGGTTCAACCTTCCCTTTCCCTGAAAGCACGAGGAGGCGACTGCTCCTAGCTTCAAGACCCCCAACCCTCTGGGAAGTGGTCTGGAATACCCCTCCCCCTCGCCCGAACACATTGTTCAAGACTCAGAAGTTGGGCTGGCTCCACCGCAASAGCATGGTATCCCCCCGCATAAGCGGTCCGCTCCGAGTCGCTAACAGGGYCGGCCCCTAAGGCAACSAMCCCCCGCCTCGGATGCCTCCTAGAGAGAAGAAGCMTAGACCCTAGGTGCAGACGACCGCTCTATGCCTTCCCGGCTAAGGGYCGACTTAGACGAATTGAGAAGAGAAAAAAATGAAATATTTTGGACGGGCATAGAAGGATAATGGTCGTTCGGGATAGAATGGGGGAGTCCTTGGGAAGATACTAAGGTGTTCCCTTGTCTTCTCTTCTTTTAATCCTCCCACTGCCTTCGTTGTTTCGGCACCTGCCTGTTCACTCTTTTATTATTATTATTTTTGGTTTTCCTCTTTTCTTTCACATGMATTCWGGTCGCGTGGGACAAAGGTAAGCATCCCCATTATCATCTTGARCAAACAATGCTGATTCCTTCTCACGTGCATCCCCCAACCTACCTGCACAATCAAGAAAAGAAACAATCAAGAGATTCATCCATCCCTCAAACAAGTCAGCCCTTTCTCCACACGCATGACATCACACTCTCACTCAACCCTTTCCTTTGAATTGAAAGCAAGGTCATGCAAGGTGTCAGTTCACCCGGGTGTGCAAAGGAACTGAGTCGCACTGCCCTTGAGTGAATTTCTTGAAGGCTCACTCAAGAAAGCCAAGTATCTGTTGAAAAAGTTCGGTCGCAAAACTCTCGTTGTGGCCACTCACAAGGATGAATCACACCCTCCTTCAACCGCCACCTCTGACTCAGGCGCCGCTCACCAATACAGAAGCGAGCGTGCCGTTGAGGAGGACATCGCACTCTCACTAAGAATAGTGTCAACTCAACCCACCAGGTACCAAGTCAGGTTATCACCTGCCTGCCGCAATACTTGGTGGTCTAGGATCCAGTCCCCGCTCGTTCAGCGTGCCGCAAAAAAAATAACTACGGCCTTGACAGTCCTTACAGGTACCGCGTGCCGCAACGTCCTCAACAAGACGATCGCCACACTCTTTCTATTACAAAGTGCACTTCCACCTTGGCGGTATCGTCCCTGC